TCACGTGTTTTCGGACCGTCCCGAAAGCACGACGGTTCGAAAACACGTCTTTGAACTCGGAAGCAATCCTTCTCAAGTCCTCCTTCTGGACTTCACTTAACCTAGGCTCTAGGTTCAACTGCTCCAAGATTACCTCCGATCCCCTTTCGATTACATCACTAGAACTCAAAATTTCTGCTCCCTCTTCCTCTGAAGCATCCAACAGCAGAGTTGCGAGCTCTTGACTTTGAACGTATGGTTTCATTAAGTTACTCTGGTAAGTTTTGTTCAGCCGCCTTTTCTAATTTCACTTCATAATTGGTATCAGAAAGCTTCGAAATTACTTTGGCGGGCCCTTCCCAATGAACCTCAAGCTTGTTCTTTTTGGACGGCCGCAGCAGCGTTACCTGACTACCTACTTCAAAAGCGCGCTTCTTCGCTGATTTGTCGTAGTACTCCTTCGACAACACTTGTGCAGCCTTCATGTGGCTTTCCACAAGATCTTTCGTTTTTCCAAGCCTCAGAAGGAGGTCTAAGGAGGTCTAGAATGTACGCAACTACATTAGGGTCCTCATCGAATCCCTCCCAGGACTCGCGTAGCAATGGTGTTCTCAAACTCCTGCCATACACAAGCTCTGCAGGGCTAAAGCCAGTGCTCTCATGAGGAGCTGATCTCAAAGCGAACATAGCGGAGGAATACACTCTTCCCAGTCGCATTTGTGCTCGTAGCAAAGAGCTCTCAGTATCCGTTTCAGAACGGAATGCATACGCTCTACCAGATTAGATTGCGGTGATGGATCGAGGTGTGCACTACTTTTATTCCACATTTATTAAAAAGGTAGAGGTAAGGCAGCTGGTGAAGACACTACCATTGTCGCATTGGATTTCAGAAGGAAATTCGACGCGTGCAAATATAGATAGCAGTGCGTCCACGACATGAGGGGAATTGAGCTCCTTAAGTGGTATCGCTTCCGGAAATTTTGTGGCTACACAGAGGGCCGTCAGGATGTACCAACAACCTTGCCTTGACTCTGGCAATGGCCCGACGATATCAATTACTAGGCGCCGAAAAGGTTCTGTGATAATTGGCACAAGCTTCATGGGTGTCTTCCACTTGTTCGTGGATTTCCCCGCTCTCTGACAAGTGTCGCATGAGCGTACAAAGTCTTCGATATCCATCCAGCATTTCGGCCAATAAAACTCAAGGGAAACTCTAGCCTTGGTCTTTTTTATGCCGAGATGCCCTGCCCACGCGTTTTTATGCGCCAGTTCCAATAGTTGGCGACGATACTTTTGTGGCACCAAGAGCTGCTCATACTTGCGACCTTGCGCATTTGTGTAGCTCCGATACAGGAGCCCTGCTTTCTCAAAAAAGGAAACATCCTTTTTCTTTTTTCCCAAGTTTACGCTTTCCATTAGCGCTTTAATCGAGAGGTCTTCACGCTGCTCTCGAATGAGCGTTTCTCGATCAACCCTCGACAGCTCACTCCAACTTTCCGCAACAGGCGAAAGCGTTGCACCCCTCTCGCTCTGACTCAATGGCGTCATGTCGTCTCCTCCGCCGACACAGACCGCGCCAGTCGCTTCGGCTACGGGCCGCTCGAGTGACTGCTCAAATGACTCGCACGGAGGATTTCCTGTCTGAGGTTCCATCGACCGCCGCCAAGGTCACACAGACCAGCAGCTTTTGCACTTGGTGCTTCGCCAGATTGAACAAGATCAAGTTCCTGCGAAAGCTTCCACGCTTGCGATCACGTGAGGGCCATGTACGCCAAGTTAGAGAAAAACGATTTACCCTGCCCTTCGAGAAGCTGCTCTGAGTTATTAGAAAATAGATAAGAAAAACGATCGGGAAGCGCGGCAGACACAGCCGCTTCGTTGCGAAGCTTACCGAACGGGCCTTCAATGACAACCATAGCGATTTGTAAGCAAGCACTCTGCTCCTTGGCGACTTGCCTGATCCACGTGCATTCTCCTGTAAAGTCATCTGGAGACACCATCAAAGGATGGACAACGTCCATAGTTGCCGCTGAGTCTCGAAGGGCTCGACACGTTTTCCCATTCACACTAATTTCTTGGAGATACTGCTCCAACAACCGCATGTTGTTTTCCGATTCTCGGATTGTTGCGAAAGCAAACTTTTGCTTAGAGTTTATCGCAATGTGCCCTTCCTTTTTGCAGTTGTAGCAGTTTAGCGGCTTCCATGATTCAAACGCCCATGTGGTATCAGTGCGTTGTTTAGGAACCATACTCGATTTCTTCGCTTCCGTTTGCCCTTCCCCTACAGTGTCCTTTGTAAGAGACGGGTCCTTCTTGAAATTACGGTGCAGAGCGGGTTTTTGTTGATCAGGTTTCTTTAAAAAGCCCTCTTTCCTTTCATCCTTTTCATCGCGCACTGCCCTGCTATGCAACTTTTGGCAAGTATAATACTCCTCAGCTAACTCTGCCGTCTTGTTTAGCTGTACCACCAAGTTTGTCCTGCAGCCAAAGCTTGACATCCTCCTCGATGCAGCGGTAGAATCGCTCCAACGCAATGCATTCTACCACTTTATCGCGATCGTCATAAACACCTTTGCCCTTGAGCCATTCAAATAAATCAGCTTTAAGACGAAACGCAAAGTCAACGTGTGACTCATTCCCCTTCTTAGCTACCGGACGCCGGCCGATCCCGCAGCTGCCAACCACTGTTCCGAAGACGGGACGCCAACGTGGTCCCAAAGGCGCCACTGCTTCAAACTCCGCCGACACTGTCACCAGCCATTTGGTAGCGTAGGTTTCTCAGTTCGCGACTGCTTCTGCGCAGAGCTGACAGACGAGCGGACGAGACGACGGTAAGTAAGGCAAGGTTTATGTACAGCATAGAAACAGAGGCGTTACAGATTCGGCACTGGGGCCGACAGTTTAGGGACTCGAAGAGCCGATATGTCTTCTCACGCACGCTGTACAAGGTGCAACCGCCGACGAGGTTACGATGGGCGCCACGAAATTCGTGGCTGCCAAGCACACGGGCTCGCCGAATGCGAAGGGGCTCGAACGACGAGAGTCTTTTCTGACACTTAGGTCAGCTTCTGGTGACGCGTCGCAGGGCTTTTTTTTTTATTGGCACCGGTTGGATTGGAAGTTTCTGATTGGTTGGATTGGAAGTTTCAGTTCTGGTTGGAAGTTTGTCCAACCAGACGCGCCGCTGGCCGTGATGTCCGAATCCTTCAATGGGGCCCGCCGCTGCGCGTGGTTGCGCCAAGGACGAGGGATGTTGCCACGCATTGCGTAAGACTCGCCAGACTGGAAGGCGCCAATCGCTTCAACGGGCTCGCAGGCTGAGGGAGCTCGCGGTGCGTTGCGTGACAGACCGGCGCCGCCGCTTGCTGACGTCGTTGAGCTGATCGCGTCAGGCGGGCTCGATTGCTGGCCTTGACACAGATTGCCTTTTTCAGAGGCATTGACGTTCGGTGTGGACTTGCAGGCGTAACAGTCCTTTGCACACCTGGTAATCAGCTAAATGCATGATTAATTTCAATTATAATGCATCATTTTTGTCTTGTAGTTAAGGTTGTATCCTCAAATAATTATTCTCAAGGACTGGAAGTGTGGGTAACTGTGACAGGAAATAAAAATTTTCAGGCAGTCTTCAGGAAACACTCTATATATGCAGGGCACTATCTTATTAGAGCAACGCCATAGACTTTTGTACTCATGGACAACTTTGTAGCAGTGCAGAAAAAGGCTTCAGCATGTGTTTTGAATGGCTGAATGGAATAATTCAAGTGTTTTATATCTTGATGAACTCACATAAACACTCCTATTGCATTGTCCAATATTTGTGGTCTGGTAAGGCGATATGAAATCAAATCTCTGCACCAATTATCTGCTATTAATATATCACTTCATGGAATTGATGGAAAAATTCCTTAATCTGTATGTGCGATTCATTTCTCTTTATTTATGTTACAGTGAAGGTTAACCTATTAGTAGAGCTGGGTGAATACGAACATTTTGGGTGCGAAGCAAATTCGAATTTGAAGTGCAATTTCGAATCAGATAGAATATATTTTAATATTTCTCGAACATTTCTAGACACTTTTTATTACGTCTAAGCGAAATCGCCCAAAAAAAAAAAAGTTCGAGAGGATTTTTAAGCATGGCCTTACGAGATAGCAACATGAAAGTGTTAGGTTTTGTTAGACTGATGATGTGCAGGTGGGGTGGTGTTTCATAGTTGTCTTATCAAGGATGAGGCAATGCAGAAGCTGAATGGTATTTAGATACATGATTTGGTGCGGTCAAAAGTGTTGCCAACAACACTATACATATGAAAGACAGAGATACTATTGCCTCAGCCTCTTTTCCTCTCTCAACTTATGTGGAAGCCCAACTGAGGGTGTGCACCCTTTTGAGTCCGAAGTTTCAAATCTGCCTCATAGAGGCCAATCTATAAGAACATCTGAAATTTTGGATGCTAAAAATTTTTAGACTTCCTGCCCAAACTTTAGGTCCAAAACAACATTGAGCCCCCACCTCTGCCAAATCACTCATCTTCATGTTGGAGCCAGCATTTTCGCGAGCCAATACATTTGCGATCGTAGCGTACCTTGAAAGGCAGCTTTGCCGCAATATGAAGTATGCTGAGGTGAAGCGTATTGAAAATTTGAAGGGGTCACTTTTAGTTAGACGTTCACTGTATATGTCTTTAGGAAATTCGAATAGTTCCAGTAGTAAAATTTTAGTGCGAATAGAAAATTTTTTGAAATTTTAAGTATTTGCACACCTTTAGTAATTAGTAGTTTAGTTTTCAAGATTTTACACTTTAAACAAGTAATGGGGCATGTTGTGTTAGTTATTTGAAAATGAAAATTAGTCTTCAAGCTGCATAAGAAGCTTCATGTCTGAATAACTGGACCATATTCAATGGTGTTTTCATATGTTCCCTCTGTTTTGAGTGTATTGTCACGGTGACTCAATAAGCAATGAATATTTACTAATAATTAGAAAAAACTGCAGCAAGAATTGTATTTTTAGGGGCAAAGCACCAGGCCATCAGTCTCATGGGATCAGCTGGAAAGCACTCAATGGCCTGATATCCTTCAGTGCAAGTACCATGATGTTTAGTAAGTATGTAATTATTAGCTGTTCAACCGTGCAATGACTGCTGTTGTGCTGGGTAGTAAGCACCTAAATGCCTTGACCATTTCATTTTTTGCAAGATTTTCTCTCTTGAAATGTTTATATGCTTATTTATTATTTTTAAAATTTTTATGTAGGATATTGTGCTTCTAAAAGCATGTTTTGATTGATAGAAAATGCTTAAAAATATAACTCAAATTAGTATAATAAAGTTTATTGTCTCATGGCCTATTAGTGACTCACAATTTGTGAAATAATGTCATCATTGAGATACTGGCGAATACAACACATGAAATCATCTAGTTAGAGTTTGGTATCTCAATAATTAGTGCTTAAAAAATGTTAAGATTTAGTGTCGCTGTACCAGCAACATAGCCTTACACGCGCAATTGTTAGAAACTGCTTTAACTATAGTCAGCTGAACCTTAACTTTAGAAGTCTGCACCTTTTCCTTCCCAAAGGTGGATGCATTCAAACTGCACCAATGAGCGTGCATCCCAGACCACCCCAATCAGCTAGGCGGCCAGTGAACCCGCTTTCAAAGAACATTGCTGAGTGCATGAGCAGGGCTATCTTTTTAGCTGTGGAGGCAATCGACTGCCGTGCTTTAGTCCTCTGGGTGGGGCCTTTTAGGGTCCTCTTAATTTGTACCTACCCGCCTATAGATACAGCTAAGAATGCCGAGGAAGCAATGGAGCCGAAGAACTCTCAATAAAAAATTCTACTTGCCCATTGTGGCAGTCACACACCTACAGATTGTTAATTTCAGGCAAACTGGCTTTGTTTCATTTTATGAACTTCAAATATGGCTCTTGAGTACTGCAGCATTCATAGACAATATGCCTGCTTTTTGCATAATCTGTTTGCTTTCATGAAGCTAGAAAGATGATCTGGGGTGCTATTTTGCCTGATATTAATAATAACAGGGGTAGACTGTTGCTTTCAACCATTGACAAAATGTGATTAGTGTGAAAAAGTCTTCTTGCCTTTAAAAAGGCATCGCTACATAAAATAGCAGCCCTGGGGCAGGAGGAGCTTAAGCCCAACTAGCCATCAAAAGTGGTGGGTGTAGTAACCAGCTCCTCCTTTCTCCAACGTTCAGGTTCCATTCTCCTTGTGCAGAACAGGCAGGATATTTGTGCTAGCTGTGTCGTTGCTGCACAAAGGAATGTCATGACTGTTGCCTGTTCTCTGTGAATGTGCACAAAGTCTAGTTTGTCTTTTGTGAACATACATCTATTCTGTGTGTTCATGTATTCTGATCATGGTAATATCTGAGCCTTCTACTTGAAAAAACTCCCAAAGTCTCCATATAGTTGTGAAAAAACTCTACCTTGTGTCACTACATGTTAGCCACAAAAAGTTGTACACAAGTATATTAGTAGCGCATGTAGTTGATGCAATAACAGTATTCATTTTATATCAGCATTAAAGTGTTCAGACAGACTACTCAATTGAAGCGTTCATTTTACTCACTTTTCTCAAAAAATATTGAGGACCTAAATAGGTAACTCAGTGCCATTTCATTTTGGGGAGGTTGGTGATCAGTGGAACTGGTGGCTGCAAGATTCTTTTTGGGAATTGTTTAAGGTATGCATAGTCACAGAGTTGCAGTGGAAGTTGTGGTATTCCCCAGAACACTGTTTTCGATCAATATCGGCATCTTCTTAACTTAAACAGTGCATGGAAAAATGCATCTCTGGCATGAATATTCCCAAAAAAGCAATTCGCCTGATGTTATGTTGTCCTGCAGAGGGCATTTATTCCAACACCACAAGCTTTCATAGAAGGTGTTTTCTATTTACATTTGTTTTGCATGACATGTAGAACACATCCATATAGTTTGAATATAATCACTTTATGTGTGTTTGGCCTAGTGTTGAGACACAAGCTTTGGGAGCATGTGGTTTTCCGGCTCCAAACCCTGCCAAGAAAACTGATTTTATTATTTTATTCGCAGCATGTTTTTTTCTAATGCATTAGTTTCTCCATACAGGGAGTAAGCGTTTCTGCTTATTTCTTCAAACTACACCTGCTCTCTAGGTGGTTAGAAATTTTCAGTCTCCACATGCAGTGATCCACTGGAAATTATGGATAATTACAACCTAATAATAAATGTATGCTCCATCTACAGCCATAACAGTCTCACGGAGAGAGAACTTCGAAAGGAGAGAGAACTTCGAAAGACGTTTTACCTACCATATTTGCTTATCTCAGTGACGTCAAGCACTTTACGCGTGTTTTGGATAGTTGAGTGTTGTCATGCTGACGCATGTTTGTTGTTGGTGGTTTCAAGCTCAAGAACTGGCAAATTTCCATTTCCGCACTTCTGGTATCACCGCTCAGTCGAAAGTCATATTATAGAAAGGAACTTTTAGTCTTAGATATGCGTGGTATTTAGTACATTAGCACAGAAAAAGTCCTTACGGTTAGAAAGAAAACTAGCCTGCACGACTCTTTTATATATTGACACGAGTCTCTTATAGTACTGACGTTGCTGCACAAGGAATGTCATGACTGTTGCCTGTTCTCTGTGAATGTGCACAAAGTCTAGTTGTCTTTTGTGAACTACATCTATTCTGTGTGTTCATGTATTCTGATCATGGTAAATAATCTGAGCCTTCTACTTGAAAACTCCCAAAGTCTCCATATAGTTGTGACTGGGCACGCTATGTCTACTGGGCACGCTATTCGACTGGGATAAAGCCTGCATCAGTTGCTACGGAAAGAAAGTTGTTACCACGATTGGCATATGGAATCTCTGGCCATTCAAACTACTGCGCATACGTTGAAAAGAAATATTGGGACACCCCCCCTGGTGTGCACGCGATGTCTACAACACGTGATGAAACATGCATAAGAAGAGCGCACTACGCCATTTGCGGTCACTGTGAACAAGGCTCCCGTGTGGGGAGCCGAAACGTTCTTTTAAGATTATGTATTTCACCTGGTCGGCGTTTTTGTTTTGTTATTTTACACTAGTTTGTCCATATAGTACTGACAAGTTCATCGTAGTTTGTGGGAAGAGCCTATACTATAGTTTAGATTGTAACAGCTCCTCTGTAAAACAGTGTTCTTGCTCAAGTTTACTGACTTTTGACTTTCATCTGCAACAATTATCATTCCGACCGACTTTGTCTATTATGTATTAGTTCTGCATATTAGTAGTGGCACAGTCTTTCATATCAGTTTGAATCGGAAAGGTTGAAACAATAGTTATGCTAAGAACCAGTATGTAATGTTCTACCTGATGCAAATATTTGATCACAAATATCAGAACCAAGGAAAAAATTTCATCGAGTTTTGCATTGTGAAGTGGATCCTGCAAGCCATTTCACCCATTGTTTTATTTTGTACACTAAACTTGGCACTATATAATTTTATTAAAATGAAATGTAGTAGTTACTGTAATGTGACTGCAGCACAATTAAGCCTGCTTATAATGCTATAAAAGTGAAAACGTGATCAGTAAGCCACATTCAGTGGTTTTGTGTGATAAATTTTTTGAGCGAGTTGTTCATTATACACCTTCCGATTTCTCAATCCAGTTACAACACAGACCATGAAGTATTGGAGAACTCCTGCAGTGCAATGAAAGAGCAATACTTAGTTAATGAAACAGCTGCTACTTGCACATCTAATCTGGAAAGTTCAGTGCTTCTCCAATCCAAATCCAAGAAACCTTCAAGCACGGCTTGTGTTCCTGTGAACAAGGACCGCACCACGCTGCAAGGCCACCAACAGAAGCATTCTTTCTCATCAACACGGAATGATCCTGTTGCATCAACATCTCTTCAGAGGAGCCCACAAAAGGAGAGCATGTCACAAAAAACAGTCCCTCTAACCTGGAATAGCCCACAAGCTGCTGCTTCTTCCTTTCTGCGAAAGAGCCCACGTAAAAATACCAAACAGCACGAATGTGATGATCCAAGGTGTGCAGTTTTTTTTCTTACATAATTTCAAAAAATATGAGCACATGGTGTTGAATGAAAACAATGACAAAGCACCTTTATAACATCATGATCCACGAAACTGCATGTTACGTTTCTTAAAAAAAAATGTAGAAAAATCCTTGTTTTCAAAGACATGCCTGCAGGATGTCGTATGTGTGGTTTTGTCTCCTTAAATTCTTGGTTTGCAGCTTATATTCACAGATAGACTACTTTGCTGCAAATTGCCATTAAGAGTCAAGTCCATATACAGTGCCACTCTCGTTAACAGATAAGCCTGAGAGGAAGCAAGTTGACTGTGCATTGAAAGGACTAGTGAAAAATGATAGGTGTAATGTCAAGAGACAGAAAGACAGCACTGTTCATCAGTAAACAGACATGGGTAGCCCATTCCACTCGACATGAAGCAGAATCAATGACTTCTGCAATGAAGTCGCAGAATGGGTCAAGCTGGTGTATATTGCTGCCGTAAGCTGAAGATAATTAGATATTGATCAAGGATGCCTGTGGTGGACATAAGGTGGTGGTGACGGGGCTGATGATAAGAATGATAAGGTCTTAAGGTTAAGCCTTGAGATTTAAGTGGAAAAAAAAAAGTTTCTTCATATAAGTTATCAGAACTAGTTATTTTCTGATGGGTGGTGAGAAAAAAAAGTACCTTTAATGCTCCCCCCCCCCTTTTTTTTTTAATATTAGCTCAGTTGAGCAGACTGCTTTCCCTACGGCCTCTTTGGCGTATGATCTCCCCTCTTCACATTTCGTTCTGTGCAAGTGAATTTGCATGTCCAGACAGAGTGGACAAAAATGGGCATGTGTTAGTGGATGATGCTTGTGGCGATATTCCATATAAAGGATTCTATATTAAAGGGGCCCTGAAATACTTTTTTGAGTAACCATGGAATTAATTCACTGGGAAAGCGTATTGACTCACAAATTCAATGCCGCAAAAATTTTAAGAATTGGTCCAGTACAAGCCGAGTTACAAAGATTTGTCACACGCTGCAATCGCATTATCTTCTCTCGTCCTAACGAAAGCGCTGGAAGCTAAGCAGAGAGGAATGGGAGGGGCAAACGAAAAGCGTCACACCCGCCTAGTGACCTTTAGCACTTTTTTTTCTTTGAATACCCGGCTTTTTCAGTGTGATCGCACGCGCACGTGTGAACAAGTGATGGTCTGTCGCGGCCATCTCTGTAACAACTGAGCACGCCATGTTCAAATCAGCCAATGGCTGATAAGATGGGTAATCTATGTGTGATTTTTTAGCGTTTTTCGTCATTTGTCGAGGGAAGAGAAAGAAATTTTCAGCTGACTTTCATAATTTATTGTAAATTCCAGGCCGCGTGTTATGCTATAATCTTTGGCTCGCGTGTTCTCGAGAGCCTCTACAACTGATCGGCAGCGTTTTCTGACCATGCTCAAAAAGTGTTGCAGGGCCCCTTTATGGAAAATGACAGCCTTCCTTGTAAGTGGCAATTTTTGCATCTGCTACTTTCATCGTAAGTGTACAATGTGAAGGGTAAATACAGGTGTAAGCAAGGTGGTTTCAATGACAGCTCAATTGAGGCTGCACTAGTGTCATGGTTAAGTATCCACATATGAAACTGCCCTGCAACACTTTTCCAAGTAACTATCCAGTGGCTTCACTAAAGAAGTTTATTGCCTCACGAATTTACTGCTGGAAAAATGTTAAGAATCGGTCAACTACGAATGGAGTTGCAGAGATCTAGCTTTCTCTCTTCTCTCGTCCCGACGAAAGTGCTGGAAGCTAAGCAAGGAAGGATGGCTCTTCTTCATGCTTGCGTCATGACCTTGAACACCTTATTTTTCTTCTCCTCTCTTTGAACGTTTGGTTTTCGAGCGCACGTGCAGGCACATGGCGGCCTTCTGTGGTGGGTGCAGTAACTGTGCACCCCATGGTGCTCAAATCAGCCAATTGTCGTGGATTCGGGTATTGGCATGGTCATTTGAGTATATCCCATATTTAAAAAAAAGGGGGATAGATTTTTAGCTTTGAGAATTAATGGTCAATTCAAGGCCACGGGCTGTGCTATAATGTTTGGCTCGAGAGCCTCGACTACCAGTGTTGTCTGACCATGCTCAAACAGTGTTAGAGGGCTGCTTTAACCTTCATGCTATTAGTTACAATGTACCAACTTGCTGGATCAGCCTCTTTGCTACTGTTGGTCTATAATCAGTACCACTAGATAATCCCTGAGGCAGATTAGTGCTCTTCTTCATCTCTCTGCTGTCACTATTTTGCTTGTGTGGCTTAAGTGGCTGGAGTTTCATATAATGTTTGCATGCAATGAGGAAGTCCTCTTGCGTTCATATAATGTAAGAGTGAAGTGATTATATGCATTCTCATCACAGGAAAGAGAGAGTTGATGCAAATCGTGCAGCATCTGAGAAACTCCGGATGGTGAGTTATTGTGCTGTTTGTAAAGATCGCTACAAACATACAAGGAATTTATATGCACTTTTTTACTTATTATTTCTCAGAAACTGCGTGTCGCTGTGGCGAATGCTCTGGAAAAGAATGGTGTGTCTCAAACCAGCCCCCTTTACAAGGCTTGCGGCAAGAAGCTTTTTGCTATTTGTAGTACCTTTGCTAAGGTGAGTGTATTTGATAATTCTACAGTACGTTTGGCATTCTGAACTGGTATTCACGCATTAAGTGCTACAAAATGATCCTATTGCAGTGGCTGGGGAATGGAATAAGATGGACTCTATTTGCTGTGGTCTGTGGGGTTAGACAGAACTGTTAACCTTCATTTTATCAGGGGTGTCAAACTCGCCTGAGCCTGTGGGCCGTAGTCACGGAAATTAATCTCCCAAGAAGGGCCAGGACAGGAAAGAAGGTTAGAGCAGCAGGGGAAGGGAGGTTATGGAACAGATAACGAGCTACTCATATATTGGTAATTTCTAGGCTTGTGCAAGTAGTAGAGTAGTGAAATTGTATTGAATAGGGATTTGGTTAAAATAATTTCTAATTGAATTCGAATAGTATGTATCGTATGTTATAAAGAAAAATGAGCATATTTGTTCGTGACCTAACTACCTACACAGTATTTTTTTTACTTGAAAAAAGGCCTTTGAATTGTAGCAAGATTTGCCTTCTCTGGTAGATTTAAGCGATAACCTGTAATACATATTAAAGCCAGCATAACACCGGCTTATGATATAAGCCAGCATAGCAAGCTTTTAAGCTGTAAAAGTTATGAATCAATGTGAGGGTATGGTGTTGATTTAACAACATGGTTGATTGTGCGCACTACTTAAACGCGGATTTAACCTTCTAGTGGGGCTTCGCGGCAGTGCGGATTTCTTTTGGATCGGTGTTTTCACGTCTTAGCACTCCTTTGCTGCAGTGAAACAACCATAACAAGGGTTACCTGCAAAGTAATATAAATTTTAAAAAGTTTGCTTAGCTTAGCATCTCTTTACGGTAGTGTCACCACCTTTACAGGGGATTACACTTTGATTGATATACTCATTTGTTTATCTCGAATACTTCGAAATTTTCAATCATTTAATTTGCAAAGCAAGTTTAAATACTTCGTATTCATTCAAATATTCAAAGAATTCAAATATTTTCACAAGCCTTGTTATTTCTCAAGAGGAATTGGCATCAGAAGACTTGAACAACAAGTTATCGATAATGATTTGCAGAATGGCTTAAATCTTGATGCGAATTCTTCAATATAGAGTTTTTTTTCGGCCGCGTGAGGTGCCTCGTGAGTGAAAAAAATGGTTGAGATCAGTCGCGTCAGATTGGCATACTCAATAAAGTGTTATTTATCTCAGTAGGCGAGCAAATGATGCGAGTGCCATTTAACAGTGCCAGAAAAATTGTCTCAAAATTGTACAAAATTATGGGACGAAGAAGGTCATGTGCGGCATGGGCCGCTGCAAAAACATCTGTGGTCTGAATGTTTGTGACATGTGATTTGCTCATCCTTTAAGTAGATGTGCTTTTTATGTAACATGTTTTTTAACTAAAGTAAATTTGTATGTTCTGGCTACATCTTGTACTCTTTAATGCATACAGTTTATTTGGATCTATTTTTTGTGCTGTGCATACCACTTGGCAAGTGTGCCTTATCATCCTTCTCCACCTCCTGCATCTCTTCGATCAAAATTTTCACTCAAGGGCAGCATGTTGAGTTGTCAGTGAGACGTAAGACTATCATTCACACTTTCGATGCTTTCAACATTTGTGAATGTCAAACCGTCAATAGTAATAAAAGTCGTTTTATTGATATTAGCATGCTATAAGATGGCCCAGTGTGCTCCACATTTTCACAGCAACTTAAGCTTGGCAACCTTCTCATGAAATGTCCTGACGAGTGCATGCTATGCATACAATAGTGACAGTCATAGCTAATCATGGCAGTGGAGTTTACATGGTGTTGCTGTGCATGCCAATAATGTGAGGTGCTGAGCATTCAAGCGTCACTCTATGTGAGGTATCTTGGCCACAGAGCAAAGTTATTTAAGAGTTGAAACTATACTATCTACAGCAATCAATTAATGTCACGCTCCCACAGTGCGGCTTAAGTACCTTGGTGTAGGAAAGCAGTGAAATGCTTTGATCTGTGTCGTGATATCCTCACTCTTGCTTGCCATCGACCTCCTCTCTTTTTCTGCACCCCTGCCTGCACGACGTTGATTGGCCGTGGCATGCGAAAGCACCCTACCAGGTGACCCCGATGTCGAGAAAATGTCGTGAAACTTCTTTCATGATGCTTTTTTTTTTCGGTTTCTGTGAATGCCTCAGCTGTTAGTCTTGCTGCCACTACTACGGCCAAACTAGAAGGGAGACATGCTGCATGCTCAAATAGGAGCACACACATCGTCCCTTCAGCCCAGCTGTGTGCAGCCCAATCTGAGGAGAATTGAGAGGAATGTGTGCAAGGAAGAGATTGTCGCTGCTATCTTAGATCAAAGGGCGCTCGTTATCGTTTCATTTGTCAAAGAACCGTATGTGTGTTGCTCCCTTCAGCTGAAGACCCTTAGTGTGAACACAAGTCGCATTTGGCCGCATGTATTTTTTGGTCTGATGCCCATACTTGTCTTAGTGCGCAGAAAATAAATTTTAACGTTCCCACTGAAACGAATGCCCTTGTCGTCTTGTCAAAAATGCTGTCAAAGAGAGTGTGTGGACATGCTTTGCTGGCCATTCTCGTGGTTGGTTTTTAAAAGTTTTGCTCTTCTGTGGCTGTCGCTCCACATTGCCAGTTGACGCACCTTCTTCAGCGCATGCTATTTTTGTGACATTACCTTTTCACTTGTGTGCACCGTACTAACATGAGTTCCGCCTCCTAAATGTTTTTTGCTCTATGATGTAGATGCATGTAAGTGATTAGCACAGTGCATGCACTGTATCAGGCTTCTGGGTTGTTGTCATTTTTTTTGTTGTTGGTCGGTTACTGCTGTTTATTTGCATGAGCTTGTACTACTTGTACCAAAGTCCTTCAACACATTTACTGGTCGTGAAGCTTCACTGTAACTCTACGGGAGAGCTTTGTGTGCTGCGAGCAGAGGTCGCGGGGTGGCGTTGCATCACCGCGGGGGCATTGGGCAGACCGGAGGGAAACTGGCTGCTGATGCTGCTATGGGGTCAATGCATAATATTGTGGCGTGCCATCGCGTAGTTTTTCACCGTATGATTACTATGGTGCCTAGTGTGCTGTGCCTGAAGATCGGGAAGGAAACCGTATACTTGCTGGGCACCTGGTTGTTGACCCGGTTACAAAAAAAAAATGACGAAAAAGTCTCCGAGTTCTCACTGCCTACAGTGATCGGCGAGAAAAGTGTAAGAGCGCAACACTGTGACAAGAAACTGGTGGATTCACATTTGTTTCCCCAAATGTGCACGTGTGTGAAAAGCACTTTGATGAGAGTGACATCGTTCACGTAGACAAGTCGCTAATGGGAGGTGTTGCGAAGTTTCTATGCAACATTCCGAAACTTTTGCCGACGCTGTGCTGAGGATTTTTCACAGCCTCATGGTGTATTTGTATAGTGCAAAAAGATGCAGAGCTTGCCCGCCTGCAAGTGTCGATAAGAACTGTCAGCGAGCTGGATACTGTTGAGGCTGCATTTGACTGTGCATGAGCCCTCTTGACATAGCTGCAATGGATAATGACGCATGTAATGAAGGTGAGCATACCGGCCACCTCCTCCTTGTTTCATGCCAGTTGGTAATACGGGAGCCCGATGGGTGAAATGCTCTCAGTTTTCATTTATACAGGCGCTGAGGTGACCAAAAGTGTTGAGGTGATATACTGAACAGGTGGAGCTACATGCAGCTCCTCACAGCTTGAAAAAATCGAAGCACACATCTGTTGCATGCAACAGTGACTTCAAAGGTACCAATTGAAGTTTGCTTGAGTGACGGGACAAGAGAAGTTGCACCAAAATACTGTACAAAACTTGCACAAGCTGTAAAAGCGTGAAAAGTTAATTTTCGATATCAATGCATCATGACCACGAGAAGATAACTTTTTTGCGTCGCATGTTGGCGCCTCCGGTGCGGGACGCAGTCAGTCAATTTTCACGTTTCAGGAGGCTTGTAAGGCGTTCGCCTTCACAGTACAAACAATAAAAAAGGACAGAGAAAACACAGCATGAGTAAGCTACACAGCAAAGCAAAGGGCCGAGAAACTACATTGCATGGCCAACCGAACTTAGAACGTGCTACAGCACCATGGTGATAAATTAACACAAAACAAACACGAAAAGGAGGCAAACGTCATATGAAGTATCGTCTGATCCTTATCTCTTGCTAAATTAAAAGCACTGATTTATTCAAAGTGGACATAGGTTTAATAAGTGCGAGGCAATTTTAAGAGCACAAGAAGATAATATATCTTCATATATAGAAACACTGAATGTATATATAGCCTGGAAGGTTGGATATGCGGTCAAAAGGTGCAGCCACTGCACTTTTGCGACGCGTTTACCACCAGAGTCGTGGAAGAACTCTGGATTGTGCACAAATGTTCACTAAATGCTTAAGGAAAGAAAAAATATAAGCACGCATTTATAATGGTAGCATATCTTACAGTGGAATCGGCATGCTGTCGAATTTCTAGCTTCAAGGCTTCATTCGACGCTAAATTTTACTGTATTAGAGCTTTCCCGAATTTTCTTGAAGCTAACATCACTCTGAAGACTTATTCAACCTTTACGGCTACATTTAATAAACGTTTCAGAGCTCCGGTGCCGCGCCGTGGACGCCCCTAGCAGTTGCTCCTGTTTCTATATCAAACTTTCGCCGAAGCTTCATGACCATTAAAAGTATTGAAGGACTCTGCTTGTACTAACATGTGTGTGAGCATTCGTTATAATTCTTTGTTTTTTTCATTACTTGCTCATTAAATCTCGGCACTCTTACAGGACCTTATTGGCTGTGGTCGTACAAGTGAGCTGCTACAAAACATTGCAGATTCCCATGCAAAGCAGGTGCGTGTGTGCTTAATTTAGTGTTAAATGTCACTTTTTATGAAGTATATAATATTTGAAAATCCTGGGATTTCCATTGAGGCTAAAAAACACATGTGGATCTAGCTAATTGGGGGCAGTTTAGTGTGAGACCAGTAGATGGGGATCTTCAATTCGTGCACTTGCGAACGAATTCACCACAATCTAACCTGAACATATAACTCCCCAATATAAACATGCCAGTTTTTTTTTCTTTTAGATAAAAATGTATTCATTCATTCATATATGCTTGGGCACCTGTCACAGTGTTTGACAGTTTTGGTAACCATTCGTCCAAAGGTGAGAGCTGAAGAGTTAGTGTGGACAGTAATATTGAAGGGCACAGAAAGAGATAAGAAAATTGTTATGAAAACGCGGACAAAATTGGAAGACACTTAAGCTTCACCTTTGAGTTTAATGCGATAGCGATGTCCTGTCCCTAGTGCATACTTCAACCACTGAATGCATACTTTTTATTGTATGATGTTTCTGGTGATGATTAAATTGTGTATTACTTCAATGTAATCAATTAAGTTAAAAGTGGCTTTTTTTTTGCAAATGGCTGAATTTTGTGTAATGAGTAGCATACTTTAAACCACGAGTGATTATTCGTGTATAATCTTCTAGAACTTGCTGTGCCCCCAGCACAACTTGGCCTTAAGGGAATAGGCGCAGTAACCTGTGTGCCTCTTGTAGTAGATGGCTGGCTTTATACAAAGAATTCATTATGATAATCACATGTTCTCACACCGGATGGCAATGTACACTGTACCATGCATTATTACTGTGATATTATATTGCCGCATGTTGTTAGGCACCTACCGAAGCTTTGCGCCGCTTCCTGCTCTTATGAATTCTGCCACACCAACTGACAAGCCAAATGCGCCAAGCTAACGCGCCATGCAACGCTGGCTGCACGTGTCAACACACCACGCGCTGGAAAAAAGAACGCTGGCGGTTTTTCGAGTAGCAGCTCGAGGCGAGACGCTAAACAAAAAGTTGACGAGGTTTTGACTAGTGAGCTCACAACCTTTGTGTATTTAGTTGACGGGCACAAGTTCGCCATTAATGAATAGCTGTTTTAGCTTCCGGCACTGTATTTGTTCCTTACAAACTGGTGGAGGTACGGGGTATGATTCCAAGCCCATCTCAGGATAGGGAACATAGCCCAGAACCCCGAAGGTTGGAGCCAGCGCTGTTGACTCCCGTACACCAACGCAGGAGTCGTCGCCTACGAGGTGAGTAGCCCGAGTTTGATGCCCTCTTCGATTCTTCGAGACCCGTGGAGGACGTAAGTTTCGGAGCCCTGCAATGGTCACCCAAGCGACTTCATTTCCATCTCATATCGTCATGGACCCGCCCCGCATACCAGAGGTATTTCACGGTGATGTTTTCGAGGATTCTGAGGACTGGCTCGATGGTTTAGAACGCGTTGCCAGACTGAACGGTTGGAACGAAGACAGGAAACTTCGCTACGTCTACGTCGCACTGCAAGATTCTGCGCGTACGTGGTTCGAAAACCACGAAGCGTCCTTATTGTCGTGGGACGACTTTCGAAGAGAGTTTCTTGCTGCGTACCCTAACACTGACCGCAAAGAAAAGGCAAGAGGCCGCTCTTCAGCCTCAAAACCAACGGAACAACGAGAGCGTCGCCATGTACATGAAGACATGTCCCGACTGTTCTGCCGGGCCGACCCGAACATGGCTGAGGAAAAGGCCGAACATGGCTGAGGCACTTGATGCGTGGAGTGAAGGAGGAGCTTTTTGCAGGCCTGGTGCGTAATCCACTGCACTCTCTTGCTGAGTTCAGATCAGAGGCGACCATGATAGAAAAGACCCTGCAGCAGCACGCGTGCCAATACACAGGGACGTAAGCGTCTCATCTGTTAGCGCGGCGTCGACAACCCTCACGAGTAATATTGACCTCTTGCGTGAAATGGTGAGGGCTGTCGTAAGGGAAGAACTTCAGAAAATACAAATTACTCAAGCTCATCCAGCGATGTCCTCACTTGCCGACATTGTGCGCGAAGAAGTGCGGCAAGCGGTTCTACAACCACAACCTCAGGTACTACAGCGCGCACAACAGGAGCCTCCGCCTCGGTTGTCGTACGCGTAGCTGTACGGCAGGACCTCGGACGCATGAATCGGACGGCTGCGACTGCTGTGATGCCTCCGACGTTTTCTCCGAGTACGCCGCTACCAATGCCGGAAGCAAGACCACGTAAGAGTGCTGTATCGCGCACTGTAGACCGGCGGTCCCTTTGTTATCACTGCGGAGAAGCAGGTCACTTTTACCGTGTGTGCCAGTATCGTCGAGCGGGACTGCGTGGTTTTCCAGTCAATGCGCCATGCCCACGGAACGGTGAACGGCCCTACGAAATGGAAGAATACTTGTCTTCACGCTATTCACCTCAAGACACGCAACAACGGGAGTCGCGTTTGACAGCACCGATGCGCTATCGGTCGCCGTGTCCTCGTCCGTCATCAAATCTCCGAAGATCACGTTCACCTAGCCCGCGGCGGGAAAACTAGAGCCAGCGACCTCTGGAGGTGAGGCCGCTGATATACTTACAACTGAAGACCCTCCATTGTTAGCCCGACAGGACGGTGGCAGTTACGCAACGACGGACAAGTGCAGTAGTAGCGACGTTACCTCCGAGATATTAGTCACGATCGACGACGTCGAGGCCATTGCGCTAATAGACACTGGTGCAGACTATTCCGTTGTCAGTAATGCTCTTGCAAAGAAGCTTAAGAAGGTGATGGCTGAGTGGACCGGACCTCAGATACGTACCGCTGAAGGGCACTTAGTTAGTCCCGTGGGGTTATGCACCGCAAGGATAGGAATAAGAGGATTTGTGTATGTCGGCAGCTTTATTGTGCTTCCTGAGTGCTCCCGGGAACTGATTATAGGCATGGACTTTTTGCAAACAAACAATGCAGTCATTACTTGCAAGAGTCCCAGGTTTCGTTTCTACGAAGAATGCCGTCGCCTTCTGTCATGCAGAGAAACCAATGGTTCTACCTCTCCTTATTGTGGACGAAGATGTAACCGTGCCGCCACGTTTCCAGTGTGACCGTTCTTGTGAGGAGTGAAGTTCTTCGTGACTGTGACGGATTAGCAGACGGAAACATCGGACTGCTACTAGAAAAAGGACTATGCGTGGCAAGAGGTATGGTGAGCCTTCGTGACGGGTGTGCGTATGTCCTAATAACTAACTTTCGAAATGAGCTGCAGCATGTTGCGAAGGGAACATCCGTAGCATCGCTGCATGAGTACGTGCAAGTCTCAGATGTTTCACTCTTGATAAAGCTTCAGAGACAGTAGACAACGTACTCCAGTCAGTAGACATTGACAGAGAGCTCTCGTCATCTCAGAAGCAACAGATTGCTGACCTCATCGGAGAGTTCGCCTAGTGCTTCTCCACCTCGTCGAAAGTCGGATGTACTCCCGTCGCAAAGCACCGTATCGTGGTCGAAGAACACGTGAGACTGTGCATCTGCGCCCATACTGAGTAGCGCCAAAAGAAAGGGAAGCCATCAAGAACCAAGTGCAGGAAATGCTCAACGATGATGTAATCCAGCCATCCAACAGTCCGTGGGCATTATTGGTAGTGCTAGTCAAAAAGAAGGACAACACTCTGCGGTTTTGCGTTGACTACAGAAAGCTGAACCAAGTCACAAAGCGTGATGTTTACCTACTTCCGTGGATCGATGATGTCTTAGATAAGTACGCAATGCTCACTTCTTTTCATCACTGGACTTAAAAAGTGGATATGGCAGATCGAGGTGGATGAACGAGATTGCGAGAAGACGGCATTTGTGACCCCAGACAGGACTATACGAGTTCAAAGTGCTGCCTCTCGGTTTGTGCTCTGCTTCCGCTACGTTCCAGAGGATGATGGACACTGTGCTCTTCGAACTCAAGTGGCAATCGTGTCTCGTCTACCTCGACGATGTAGTGCTTTTTCTTCTACGTTCAAGCAGCACATCCACCGACTGAGAACGGTACTGGATGCCATTCGTGTGGCAGCACTGACCATGAAACCGGGAAAGTGTCACTTTGGATTTCGTCAGCTTAGGTTCCTCGGGCACATAGTTGCTGCGGAAGGCGTCCGCCCGGACCCGGAAAAGATTGCAACTTGAAAATTTTCCGAAACCGCAAGACAAAAAAGCCGTCAGACGATTCTTGGGACTAAGTGCTACTACAGATGCTTTGTTGAAAACTTTGCTAAGGTACCTGAGCCTTGGACACGGCTAATGAAAAAGTGTACCATTCTCTTGACGGGAAAGAACAAGAAGCAGCTTTCTCAGAGTTGCGACGCCGTTTACACTCTCCTCCAATACTTGCCCATTTTGATGAAGAGGCCGACACAGACATATATACCAACGCGAGTAACGTTGGTCTCTGTGCCATCCTCGTTCAGTGGCAGAATGGAGAAGAAAAAGTCCCCGCTTACGCGAGCCACATTATCGGATGCTGATTCCAATTACTCAGTGACTGAGAAAGAGTGTCGACTAATAAAAAGTTTCACCCATACCTCTACGGGAGACCGTTTCAAGCAATCAGTGATCACCATTCATTGTGTTGGCTGGCAAATATCAAGGACCCTTTAGGAAGACTAGCTAGATAGAGCCTGTGTCTGCAGAAACATGACATCACTGTGGTCTACAAGTCCGGCCTCAAGCACAATGACGCGGATTGCTTGTCTCGCGCACCTGTGGAGTCTCTGTCATCTGATCAAGAACAAGACATCCCATTTCTTGGAGTTCTGAATGTATCGAAGATGGCTCGTCTTCAGCGAATGGACCCGGAACTACGCCCGCTTATCCAATACTTGGAGGGTCATCAAATTAAGGTACCACAAGTTTTCGTCTGTGGATTGACATCCTATGCCCTCTGGAATGATGTCCTATACAAGCGCAACTTCGGAAACAGCGGTGAGACGTTTCTGCTTGTTGCATCATCATCACTGCGAGCA